GATGACATTAAAGATTGTTTAAGAAAGATCGTTTAAGCTTAAGCTTAAGAAAGTGCGAAGATATTAATTTTCCAATTGTTAAAGTCATTTTTGTCAAAAGCTCGGACAAAAGTATAAAAAAATCTTACTTTACAATTTTTACTTTCCAAGAAACTCTTCGATTGTATTATTAGTTCCGAGACATTCTGCATGAGGATCGCAATGGCAATGGATATAGTGTAATTACGATTATTGTATCGATAATGTATTATTAATACAATTTGTTATAAGTAAGAACATATTCGAAAAAAATGCAATGTATGTACATTGTATTATATATTAATTTGTCACAAATATATGTGACTCAAATGCAGATAATATATCATTTAAAATTAGATTCCATTCTTTTCTTAGTTTAAAAATATTTAATATCCTTTAATAATAAAGTACTATATACCTAAGTATGTACATTTAGTATCGTATAATGATAAAGTATACAGAAATCTGGTTTTAAAAATATTTGAAATTATTTGATTTTATTCATATATTATGTATCTAGAGATTTTCAAACCTTAGGACGGTAGTCATAGTCGATTCTTATATTTACTCTTTAAGTATAACTGACTATGAATTTTAGTTGGATGAAAATAGGACGTATATGATATACAATAGCAAACAAAAAACGTGCGATTTGAATTTTTTGTCAATTTTCTAGTAAAGTTTATCAACGCCATTTTTTGAAATAAAAAATTTACGAATTTTTTTTCGAAAATTATATATATTTTAAAAAAGTTTATGAAATTTTTTTCGAAAATAATATATATTTTATTAATTTTATTTTTTTTTGTTTATGTTTATATAGAAACTTAAATCAATAAATAAGCAATTATAATATAATAATACAATATTAATGCTTGGTCGGATCATCATAAGTTTTGATTATATCAATTACGTCAATCAATTTGTCACTCAGAGTAAAAAATTCAACTTTGAAAATATTTTTCTCTTTAGAGATATAATATCAATATGTCCAACTTTATGTCATGAGAATTGTTTTCTTTAAAATATTTCCAATATTATAAAACGTATCATAAAAATACATAAAATCTACTATGCCGTTGAACAATGATAAAATCGCGCATTTGTTTTGCCAATTACTGTATATTGTGAAATTTTTTATCTGGAGAAATTGTAGATAAATTTTGTGAGACTTTTAAAGTATTTTGCAATTCGTACAGAGAAGCCTTTAAAGATGATGTCAGATATTAATTTATTGTTATTATCATATATGTTGTTTGTATATATATAATGCTTAAATAATTTTGCATCTATATACATTTCTATTAATGTAAATTAACTTTTAACCTCGGTTTAATTTACTTTTAATCTTTTTCTAATTTTAAGAATGAGAAAAGGAATAAATTAAATCGAGAATAAAAGTTAATCTAACGTTGAGAGAAATTGCTATTAAAAATAAAGTTCAAGCTTTATAATTTGATTCCTAGATTTTACGATTCTGTAATTGGCTATTTAAAGTAAAATTGTTGTGCTTTGAATAGAAGCATTAAATCTCTAGCGATATCTGCGTATCGTTGTGCTTCAAAAATATATATCACGCGCGATAAAAGTATACGCTCAATGATGATAACAGTACATACTTTCAGCGAAACACACTACGTACATACACAAGTGGATCGCAAGTAGATACTTGATTGCTCTTAATCAGCATTACTATATGTATCTGCATCAAGGATAGTCCATAATTCACAAGCTTTCAAACGTCGTCAAGCGGTGTGTCACACAGTGTGTTTTCTCAATATATATGTTTTAATTTGTAATTATTACGCTACAACTAAAAGCGAAATGAGAGTAGCTGTCGTTGGTGGTGGAATCGTCGGATTAACAACAGCCAGATTTGTACAAACAGGATACTTTCGTAACGCTAATATAACAGTCTTGGCCTCGGATTTTGACAATACTGTCAGTCATGTTGCAGCGGGAATCTTTAGAGTCGGCGCTTCATTCTGTGGTCCTAGTGAGGCAGTAACAAGGTATAAATAAAAAGTTTTTGATTATTTTATTATCTTATAACTTTTTTCGAGTAATTCATTCATTCTTAGATGTGTTTATGTACGTCATTGCATTCCTTTGGAAGCCATAAGCTCTATGAGTATATATATCCCGAACGAATTAATATATTTTAAGACAAGACAATCCTTTTTACATTCCTCTAAAATACATATTGTTCTCTAAAATTGTTATATTAAAAAAGCGAGATATAATCAACATGGTTATATATGTGCATACTTACGGTGTCTTTAGTTTAAAACGTGTACATTGTATTTTTTAAATAATAGTTATTAGAAAATTTTTTAAATATATATAAAAATTATTTTATTTAAGATTTATAATGACTTAAACAAAAGTTAAATTATTTAAAAATGTTTTTAATTTTTAATAATAATATATATATATATATATGTATATATTATAATAATACATTCTATTATCATACATCATCATACATAATACATCTATTTTATCTTTTTAAATAATATATGTATATTATAATAATACATCTATTTTATCTATTTAAATAATAATTTAAGTACCTTTTTAAATATTAAAGAATAATAAATCTATTTAATTTATGACAATTTTGCAAGTTATTTTACAAATTTAATAATGTGCATGTGTATAAATAAACATATTTAAAATAAGTAAAATATATATAATAATATATATTTTACTTATATAATAAAAAATATAATAAAATAATATAATAAATATAATAAAAAATGTGATTTTTAATGGCCGTTTATGATATGTTACTATGTTGCTTTTATGAGTGGAAAAACAAAATCTCTAATAAAAATGTTTATTAAAAAATAATTTATAAAACTGTTGTTTAAGTCATTACATAAATTTTTTTAAACAAAATAACTTTAATTTGAACAAATTTTTTAAATAACTTTTAAATAACTAAATTATTGAAAAAAATAATTAAGTCTATACATTTAAACACCAAATTAACACACTGTCTATAATTCATGTATAATAACATACATATACATACAAGGTGTCCTATTTTAATTCATTGAAATAACATGAAAACGACTAGATCTACAAGAAAAAAAATGTGAGCTAAAGTTGTATGATTATGCAGTTTGCAATATTTACTCGAATATTGTTAAATTTTATATGCGTTCTTAAACTTTTTGCCGACACTGTATATATAGACATATTATAAATCATAAAATTAATTAATCTTTTTAAGACAATGGGTAAAAGATTCCTACGAATTTTACGATGCCCTTCGAAAAATGGATGATGCTTCTCGTGCTGGAGTGACTGATATTTCTGGATATATATTCGCTAATTCATCACCGGATACTGTTAAGGTAAGATTGGTCAAAAAATAATTTTTAGCTAAAGATAATTATAGTTATAAATTGTAAATAAAAGTTCTCCGTAAAAAACAAAACCCATCGATGAATTTGGTGTCATCATCTCAGAGTTTATGCTCTAATTATTCAAGCAGAATCATTGGCTCGAAGACGTGGTGCCAATATACAGAAGAGCGAACGAGGAAGAATTCGAACTAGTTAATGGCAATTGGAAATACGGATCGTACTTCTCAACTCTTCTCACGCAAAGCAATCTGTATCTTCCGTGGGCTAAACACCGGTAAATCGTATGACACAATTAAAAACATAAAAATTGTAATTTGAATTTGCTTTTCTATTTTCTGAGCTATTTGCTTTTCTGCAAGATTGCAATTAGACGGAATTACATTCAAGCAAAGAGAACTGAATTCTCTCAAAGAACTGACTGACGACTATGATATCGTAATAAATTGCACTGGGCTTGGAGCGCGCAAGTTATGCGGCGACAAACGTCTCGTTTCTCTTCGTGGCCAAGTGCTCAAAGTATATTATATTATCTTTTACTTGGATATCGATATTTTTCCTTACACATACGATCCTCCTCTCGCTTTATTACACGCTAATCGTTTTCTGCATAAAAAAATCTGCACAGGTGAAAGCACCGTGGATGAAAATGTTCTTCTACGGCGAGCTGGATACTTATGTTATACCAGGTTTCAACGGTGTAGTTACTTTAGGTGGCTCGAGAAACTTTGACTCCGAAAATATGAAATTGTGTCCATATGAATCCGCAGCGATTCGTGAAAGATGCGAGACGCTGGTTCCCCCTTTGAAAAATGCGGAAATCCTGCGACAAGAAGTCGGTCTGCGACCACATCGGGAGGGTGGTGTCAGAGTCGGAGAAGGGAATCGTATTAGTCATCATTCTAAAACTATAGTTAGTACTTATAGCAATGAAAACAGTTTATATTAATTTATAGATAGCAGATTAAGTCTTTTTTTTTGTAGATTGTACATAATTATGGACACGGTGGTTACGGAGTTTGCATGGCACCTGGAACTGCTATAGCGGCCGTGGATGCAGCCGTCAAACTTCATAAATCTACCAGCTCCAAAATATAATTACTATCTTGTATATCATTTTTTTTTCATTATATACATTATTTAATATTGTATCACAGAAAATACTGTCGAAAAACTTTCTTCTATCTGCACATACATTCTTTATTAATGGATTTTACATAAATTAGAATAGTCTAATACTGCACAGTCATATACATGCTTAGACATAGTCTAATACTGTATCATTTGCTGAGAAATGCACTTATAAATAGAACTTTCCGTTATAAGGCTCGTTATCAGGTATGAAGATATACATTTATACTTCTTTTATCAGCAGAAAAATATATTTCGCAGATCGGAAATTATTAACATTTTTCTCAAATGAATCGTCTATTCGTCAAAATTTAAGAATTACACTCCTTTTCAGTAATAATTATTATTATATCGAGCATTTTATTGTTTATTAATTAATTACTTTGTGAATGTATTACGAAATGGCTAACAAATTTATAAAACGTTACATCGTAAATATAATTAGATACAGCTTTGAAAAATAATATATATCAAATTATATTAAATAATCATTATAAAAAAAATTATTACATCAGTCCGTCTAAACGCTATTTTTTACCGGGTTTTACATTCTTCCGAGGCGGTGCTCCCCATCTCAATGCGCTGCTATCGACTGTCAGACGCGGTCTTTTATATTGGCTGCTTTTTATATGTTCTTCCACTAATTTGGGTGTGACGCAGATAACGTGCTGCCCTTTCCAGTATTTAACCATATTCATACTTTGTAACGTTGAAATAATATCTGTTTGCGAGATGCTGGTCATTTGACTGTAAATAATTTATTTTTTTATACGTTGTTCTCGAAATATTTATTACCGTAATATGTGTGCGATCGTTATATATATCTTACCTAAGATCTTTAATACTAAGGGTCCCTCTAAAATCTCGAAGGATTTCCAGTAGAATCCAACTCCAATAACTGCGATAAGATAACTTTCCTAAATCGCTTAAAGGTTTTTCAGGACTTCCAACCGTTTGTTCAATTCTACTTAATTCATAGCTAAAAGCTATCAGCAATTTGCCATAGCCTTGTCTTTGAAAAGGTGGTAAAGTTAAAATACATGCAACATTATTACCGTCGGGTGATTCTTTTTCCTGAAAATAGAATAAAATTTGCAAATAGAGGTGATACAATAAATTTTAAGATTCAAAGATATAATTTCAAAATAAATTAAAATAGCGCATAATTATAATTAACATATTTTTGATAAAAATGTAAAATTTCTTATTAAATTGAATGAACTTATTGTGTGCGTTTTTTAAAAGTGAAATAAGAAAACGCCGTACAAAATTTTACTGAAGAAAAAGTATACATTTCTTTAGAGTTGCTATTTAAAAATATTTTTTAATTCATATTGTACCTTTGAAAAATAGCCAACTAAATGTGCACCATGCTTGTCCACCTCACATAAAATATAAAAAAGAAATGGCTCTACATCGAAGTAAAGGGTTTTGTGATCCAAAAATAGTTTTGCTAACAAACACAGATTCTGACAATAAATCTTATGCTCTCTGCCATCTACTTCCCAAATACTCAGTGTTCCCTTTCGATAAATTTCCTTCCCAACTGGCTGTCTATGAGTACATTCACTCTGAAACAGATATACATTATAATTACATTATGCTCTTAATAAAAATTCAATAGAAAATAGTTTTTTCTATCTCACCATATGATATCTGTACGTTTTCTCGAGACGCATATACTTCAAGCAATATTCACAGATCCAGAGTTTCGGTTGTTTACCGTATTCCTCTGGATATGGACTGAAATACCAAGTGTCAATCTCATATTTACCTAGAAACAAACTTCTGAAAATCATGAGATCCTTTTTGCATTGATCGGAGTATGCATACAAATGGGACAATAATGCTTACCGATCTGTATTCTATCTATGTACTTCACTTTTGTTATAGCTTCATGTTCCTTTTCTAATGCAGCTGTAGTAGGATCCATCTCTGCATAGGTCTACAAGTAATAAAAATGTACCAATGTATGTATATTAAGTGCAGTTAAACAATAAAAGCAATAAGTTAACTTATATATATATATATATATATATATACACACATATAAATTTTGCATATGCATGAGTATAAAATTTATATATGTACGATTAATGTAAGATTTTTAAAAACAATAAAAACCTAACAAGATTCTCAGAATTAAATAATAAAATACAATAAGCAAGGCAGAGATGGGAATCGATGTAGTTATTGGTACGCAATATTTCATTTACATAAAATTTTATGGTAATACAATTCTGTTAAATATAGATGTACCTTTTGTACATGATTAATCTCATCATGGCGTCTCTTTTGATTTCTGGTGATTTTGCGATCAGAAGAATCTGCTAATAAATCAGTTCCAGAATTCCTATCATGCCGCTCTATTTCACTCATATCAAATCTGCTAGACATAATTCTGTCGCGAGGTACCCATTCGTCCAATCTTCTGTTATGCCCGTCATAGTGAACATAATATTCATAATGGCTCTCATTTTCGTTATAACGTGTTTGAATAATTTCAGCAGGATCTGTATGTAGAAATAGAATAATTAACGATAACATCAAATACATAATTCTGCTTAATTATTATATTAATTTTTGTGTTCAAAAATAATAATGTAGTCCAAATAAAATAGTTATTACCAGGGTTGGGTAGCACCTAGTTAAAAAGTTAAATAATTTTAACTTAACTTAGTTACATTTTAGACTCTTAACTTTTAACTTAACTTAGTTAAATTTTATCTGTAACTATTAACTTATAATATAACATTTTTGAAGTTAACTATAAATAAAGGCGTCATAAGACGCCGCAAGTAATCTGCCGACAAGCAATGACTTTTGGGCCGCGTTTAGAAACTTCGTCTAGGTGCATCTGGATATTATTTTATTCTTGTTTAACATTCAGTGAATAACAAGGATAAGATAATGTACGTGAATTTCTGAACGGTCGCAGCCCTGTGTATTCATTGGGTATCGCATGTCACGTGCAACAAACAAATATCGCGCTGGTGTGTAAATTGCGCAGAAGACATTTGGTGTGTCAAACATTTGGTGTGTCAAAGTGATTAGTCTCAAGTCTGTGATTACAGATTGTGGAATCGCGGAGAAACGTAAAAAACTATTAATGTTATTTGTAAAATTGAAACCCTGAAGTCAAGAAATAAAAAATTTAACTTTTAACTTTTCAATTACTTTTTTTTATTAACTTAACTTTTAATTTAATTAATTTCATTATGGATTTAACTTGTAACTTAACTAAGTTAAATTTTTAGACTGTTAACTTTAACTTAATTTAGTTTAAAAAAAATTTAACTTGCCCAACTCTGGTTATCACCTGGTTATTACAAAAGAGATAATTTTGATTGTAGCAATATCTTGCCAGAACAATGTAAGGAATTAATTAAATACTATGATGCGATTCAAAGCTTTTTAAATATTTTGACAAGTATTATTGACAGAAAGCCGATATGTATATGGCTAAAACATATCTATAAGTTGGTGTTAAACATCACGGGTATTAATAATTTATCCGTAATCGCATTTCTAGAACAAGCTTAAGGATTGAATGGTACGAAAAAGATTGTTCTTACGCACGCCAGGAATCGTCCGATCTGCGGACGAGATAATGCTCGCCTATGTCAAGCGGTAACTCCTCGAGGCTGTCCGCGTCATCGCCGGAGCCCTTCCCGCCATTCGTCAGTGTACTATCACGCTTCTCTTGTTTTACCATTGTCTCTTTTGATGCCGCCGTGTTACAACCGTCTTTACCTCTTTGCTCGGACTCAGCCATTTTCCGAATGTAATTCACATGCTACACGAATCACTCTGGTCAAAGCGAACCGTCTCAAAGAAGCTGAACATTGCACCTGCTGATGCAATAATAAAACGATCGCGTAGAAACGTATGATGCGACTGACGCGTGCTTGTATTTAGGGTGTGTTCCCACTAACTGAGCGCGTCACGTTAAAGTTGACAATTCTATCTCTGATTTTGTCTCTAGTTTCTACCTCTAAAATGTCGAGTAACTTAACCAATGCGTCATGCAAGGATTCGCGCGGCAAATCATGCAATAAAATGTTTTGATTGATTAATTCGTGACGCGACGGATGACGCGACGCGTGACGCGCTCAGTGGAAACGCACCCTTACGTCCCGGAGCACATGAAAATCATAAAATGTATAAGGGCGAATTCACACCTTGACAGAAAAGCGGAAAATAGAAAAGCAGAAGCCAATCAAAACTTGCACTGGTAGCAAGAAAAGCAGAAAGCAAAAACTATTAACTACCAACTCGAGTTCTGATTGGCTT